CCCGGATTTAGGCTATATGTGTTTATGTGGATATTATTCAAGCGCCTGGCCAGTTCCCGATTGAATAGCACCTGACACAATTTACTATTATTATAACCGTCTAGCCTATTGTACACTCCGTTTCGCAAGTTAATGTTGGTAAAATTAATTTTGCCTAACCCGTAGCCACCGGCGGCCACATTGATTACTCTTGCTTTTGGTGAGACTCTCATAAGTGGTAATAAATGCAATGTTAATAGAAAGTGACCTAAAATTATAAGGGTTAAATTTTTAGTATATTTATAATTTAAAATATACGATTTTTGTAAAATTAAATTTTTTTATTTAATACAAACTTAAATAATTAATTCCGAAATGAAGTTCAAAGCCCTCCTGAGTGCGGCCTTCAGGGCAGCCAAAAACGCCCGCATTATTAATAAGTATATCTAATTGTGTTTCAAATTGTGATAGATTTTTGGCAAAATCTCTCACGGATTTGAGTAAACATAAATCAAGTTTTAATTGTTTTATGTTTGCCTTTGGATTCCGGGCTTTGATGTCACGGATTGCTGTCTCGGCTTTTGTTTCATCTCGACATCCTATGTATACCTATCAAAAAATTAATAATAACTGTTATTTAATTTGTTTCAGATCTATACCCTGAGCATTATGATAAATTTTAAATAAAATTAAAATATGTATGACAAACTTAATAATTAAATATTTATATTACTTTTGCGCCTCTCAAAGACAATTGAAATGCTGTTTCTTTCCCTATACCGGTGTTTCCGCCGGTGATGACCACTACCTGTCCGTCGAGTCGTTTACTATTATTCACTCGTTGTCTCAAATTAAACCAAATTGAAAACAATTCATTTAATAGTTGGTAAAATCCGAGAATATAATTCATCGTAATTATTATATAACATTAGATTTGTGGTTAAACAGTTAATTAAACTATTTAATATTATATAATATTAAACACGTTTCTATTATATTTATGTTTGCCTATGTAAATAAATAACAAAGTAATTTTTTATTGCAATTGAATATATTTTATTTTTTGTCAACACAATTATACAATTATTTATTAATTAAATTACAATCATTTTTTAAACGCTATATATAGTATTTTGTTATATTAATAATTGTACAGTATGCACGATAGTTATCAATTTGCACTTAAATATTGTTAAGAAATGAAGGTTATTTAACCATTCATATGTAACCTTGTTTAACATTTACAATATATAAGTTTATACATAATCATACATGTATTATATAAAAATCTTAATATATTTAATATATAAGTTTATAAACTATTATATAAATTATTCTTATAACAAGTGCTGGAATCAATTGATATGTTCTTTAATCATATGATTTTTTGGTAATGTTTATTATTTTTACATAACATTAATCAAAGACTTATAAAAGGGCAAATATAAATTTATTGGTATAAGAAATCACAATAATTCCGTATTATATTGATTATGTTTTATTACAATATTTTAATTATGTTAGATAAAACATTATTAAATAATTATTATTATAATATTAAAAATTTAATTAATTAAATGTAAAATAAAGGTAAATATATTTAATAATTTTTGTATATTTAATCAAACAATAATATACTTTAATATCATAAAGATGTTTGCTATAAATATGTTTGATTATGATAATAATAAATATAATTATATAAATAATTGATTTTGTATTTTATGTAATTCTTAGAACAACTTTAACATTGAACTATATATTTCTTAGAAATACATATATCTTTAGAGTAATTAATATATTTATAAGAATAATATTATTATAAATATTTAAAGCTATCACGAACATGATTTTTCTAATAAAAATATTGATTTAGATATTAAGAAATCTAATAACTATTTTTAAAAACATAATCATAATATTTTAATGCATTATAAATATAAATTAAAATATACATTACATAATATGTATCTCATATTATGAGATAATACGTATAATTTTAAAATATAAATATAAGTTTTAAAAACAATTAAATAAGAAATTATAAATTTCATATTAACAACAAAATGAAATTATGGGATTTAATTGATATTGGTTGGGAATTTACAAAAGAATTTACTCTAAATATTCTCAGATTGACAAATAAATACGAGGGAAACCGGCGTTTGAATGGCCTCGTAGTGGTCATCACCGGAGCTAACGCTGGGATCGGCAAAGAGACCGCATATCAAATGAGTATACGTGGGGCTAAAGTATGTACAAATTGTTTACATAAAATTTCTTTCTTATAATAATTATTATATTTATGATTTTATTTATTAACCACATTTACATCTCATTGATCCTAACTATAAATGTAATTAGGTATTTAATTATTTTGCTAATTATTTATTAATTAATATTCAGGTAATCATTGGATGTCGTGATGTAATGAAAGCCATGAATGCAATCAAAGATATAAAGCAAAGGAACCCAAAGGCAGACATATATTCACTTCCGTTAGACTTGTCTTCACTTCAATCCGTCCGTCAATTCGTGACCGAAATCACGAAACGGGAGACAAAAGTAGATATAC